TGTGTGTGTGTGTGTGTGTGTGTGTGTGTGTGTGTGAGTGTTAAAATCACCAGTGTCAATGATGCCAGGATTGGATTGAAACCAGGTGGGTAGAACCAGACCGCTGAAGGTTGAAAAGCCCAGGATGACGAGGTTACGTGAAGAGTTAAGATCCACATACTGGAGAGAGAACAGAAGACAGGATGTTGTGTGAAATAGAGTGAGAAAGAAAGAAAGAGAGACAGAAATAATGTGATACAAATTTGCTAAAACTGGTTTATTGACTCTCAGATGCAAGCCATTATTTTGTTGATCTGTTTCAGCTAGCTGACATTTCTGCTGTGGAAGTTCACTAAAATGAGATTAGGAATAATCAGGAAAAAAAGAGACCCAAATTCTATTTTGGTATGGGATTCACATTTATTTGGTCATGTCAGGTTAACACGGGTCACAGTGAGGTCAGTGTAGATATATATATATATATATCTGTGTGTGTGTGGATGTATGTATAAGACTATATTACCTACCTATAATAATGAAACATGATACACAATAGTGTTACAACAGTACAAAACGAAATAGCTACAAAATATAGCTTGGGAAAACACCGTCATTTTTCATCTTTACAAAAACTGATAGAGCAAGTTCTTTAGCCAAAAAATACCATAGAAGGGTGGAACTAATAATACAGTTGTGCAACAATTCAGTTAAGGTATTTGCATTTACTGTATTTTCTAGCAAGTACTTCCTTAAACGCCGTCTCACTTATGTTTTTCAGCAATTAATTAGTCTCAAAGTCGGAGACTTTTATAACAGCTAAAAATTCACAGTGTTTAGTTTTCAGTTCTCATTTAGGCATTAAGAAATATGTTTGTGGTTGAAAAACAAACACTCAAAAACCTTTTTTGGAATATCATTAAATTACTATCTTCTTGTCTGTATGTTTGTCCAATATGTTTGCTGTAATCAAACTGAAATAGCTTGATACGGGAAAGGTGATTACTATTGACCCTTACTCACTCAACCTAACCTTGAAATCACATATTACTGTACTTACATTGAATTTCATGTATTACGGATTACACTTACAGTGCGCTAACAACTGCCAAGCTCAACATCTAACATCAAAGCAGTTTTACAATAATGAGACATTTTTGTGCAGCAGATTTCTTAAAGGTTGCTTAAAGTGCCAAATGGTAGACAAGTTAATGACAATAAAATGCAAATAAAGTTTTTATTACACACATGATCCTTATTTTCTGTTTTTGCCTGTATTCTAGATAGATTTAACAACACCGCTCACTGTGGAACCAGTGAGTCCAAGAAAGCCTTAATAGAGATGGTGTTTTATTTGAAGGGGTTAAGGATTAGGGCATCTTATTAAGCTATGCTCTAGTTACTCTGAATAAAAAAAAAAAAGGTGCACCAAATAAAAGACAAATGCAATTTGATATGCTGTGAAATTAATTGTGTTTACCTGGAGGTTGGATATCCCAACTGCTGCAATCATTCCAAACATAATAAGGAACATGCCCCCAATGACTGGATCTGGGATAGTGATAAAAATTGCTCCAAACTTTCCAAAGATTCCGAGGATGATCATCAGAATTCCAGTAGTCTGGAGGACCAGCCTGCTACCAACCTAACATAAAAACAGAGCACAGGGACTCACTGTAAGGTGTACACAAGAAAACTTAAACCATCATTATTTTTGCAAGGATGTTGGAAGAATCTCTGGGTCTCACTGGACATGTGACATGACAACACAGGAAGAGTGGTTAAGCGTTTCGATGCCATAATATTAAATAATAACTATATCTGAAATTGTCCTGTGATAAGACAGGGTGTACATGTTTTTAACAGGTGTGTACATACTAATCGCAATTTTTTTTTATTGAAAATACAGTAACCTGCACTTTCAAACAAGACATGAATACAAGTGGATTTAGATTACCATTAACCAATGCACAAACAAACATATATACATAATACATATAAATCCATCTTGAATGTTGTCAGTAGTCAAAAGTAAACTTGGTTTTGGTCCCTTTCAGTAATTGGTGAAAATCTCCCAAAGGTGTTCTTTTTAAATGGTGTGTGGTAGGACTTGACTTAAGCGGTCAAAGAAGTGCAGGAGACTGATGCTGCCTAGTGTAGCAAGTGATTTATTCACCATTTTGTGACCCAAATAATATTTACAAAAAAACAAATAAGAAACTCAACTCTATAACTAAATCAGTTCAAATAAACATAACTGAACTTAAATCAACAGAAATTAAGGTCAAACTGCACACAGCTACACTGACCTGAACCTTTCTTCTCAAACACCTGAGTTCTGCTTAAATAGCCCACTTATTTCTCCTCTGGACTATTCCATTCGGTAGGTAAGATGAACATAATTATATTCAAACCTCTACTACTACTCTTTACTGGCAACATGAACTCTGTGGTGTAATCAATACATATTACAACAATAAATCTATTTCTTCATAAACCCTCTAAAATCAACTTTATTAAATTATAAGAGTTCTTCCCCTCCCGCACTTGGTCTCTTCCTGTGACCTCAGATGAACCCAGAAGCTATAAAGCAGGAAGTAAAACTACATTTCCTCCTTTTGTTTCTGGAAGACA